TCAGTGAAAAGTAGGACTTCTTAGGGGAACAGATCTTCTGGAGCCTGAAATTTTTTATCTAATGGCCTAAAGGTATATAAAAAGGACCAGTTACCTCTGTCAAGAATTGGTAATATTCAGGGAAGGCGTTCAAGGCCCAAAGAAACAGCATTTGTAAAAAGGTAGAGATAGCATTTCTAAACCATGTTTTGTGAATCTCTAATACACTGATATGTGTTAGTGTTCCTATAGGAAAACATGATTAGGGATCAGATACGTTTTGGCTTTGGGATATATTGCATTTCTAGATTCCCCATTCTTAGAGATTCACGGTATACATTAGTCGTTTAAAAGCTTTGAGAAGTCTGAGGTACCTGGCTGGCTCAGTCAGTGGAGGATGTGACTCGATTTCAGAGTTGTGAATTTGAGCTCTGTATTGGGTGTAGAGATTACTTAAATAAACTTAAAAAAAAAAAAAAAAACTTTGAGAAGACTAAACAGCAAGAAGAAGACTTACTTAATTTTGTTTAATGTGGCATTTCCTGGACATTTAAAAAAATTTAAACTTAAAAAATTGTGGTAATATATGTAGTCTATAACGTAAAATTTACTATTTTAACCATTTTGGAGAGTACAGTTCACTGGTATTAAGTACATTCACATTGTTATGCAGCCATCACCACCATCAGTCTCCCAAACCTTTTTATCTTCCCAGACTTATCCATACCTTTTGAATATTCCCCATCCCCTCTCCCTCCAGCCCCTGGCACCCAACATTCTGCTTTCTGTTAATATGAATTTAACTACTCTAGGTACTTTATTTAAGTCCAATCATATGATATTTGTCTTTTTGTGACTTTTTTCATTTACCATGACCTCCTCAGGTTTCATCCATGTTATAGCATATGTCGGAATTTTCTTCCTTTTTAAGGCTGACGAATATCCCATTGTATGTATATACCACATTGTTTATCCATTCTCTGCCACGTATTTTTAATGACTGTGTAGCATTCTGTTATATGTCTGTGCCTTGGCATATTCACCACAGATGGATATTTAGGTTACTTTCAGATTTAACAAAAAATCCTGAGATAAATATTTTTGCATAGTTATCTCCTAAGAGCAAATCCTACAAGTATGGTTGCCCAAAGGGTACTCATTATACTTTGGGAGACATTACCACATTATCATCTAAAAAGTGTCAGTTTTCATTCCCTTCTACTGTGCACGAGCTCAGTTCTCTGAACCCTGCCAACATTAGGTTTTAAAAATCTTTGATCTTTGCACAACTGATCAGAGAAAATAACTTGTTTTCATCTGTGTTGGGAATATCTTTGTCTTAGAAATCAAATCTACTTTCAAGTGATAATTTGCTGCTCTTAAAGTGATTTAAAACATGTTCTTCTGGTTCTGAAAAGTAGCATTGGCATGGGTTGATTAGTGTCCCAAGGTGACAGTTTTGAAGGGCACATTGAAGAGAAGCCCTTGTATCTGTATTAATAGAAAAAAAGGCAATCCTTTTTTTATAATCACACTACACACGGCATGCTCATACATGACTTATCCCTACAGCAAAATTATATAGTCCTTGGAAGTCAGACAGCAACCTTTACTGAATTTCTTCCACGTGTAAGATCCTTTATTGCCGGAAGGGATGTGGTGGTGTGGCTCCTGGCCTTGTGGAACTTACAGTCTGAATCCTCAAGTATATGTCATGGGACGCGGAAGGCATGTTTTCCAGGGCAGACTTCTGGGAATTCCCTGTCAGAACGGTATTGAATAACTATTTGTTGAGCGAATCATACTTGTATAAAGTCACAGTATACTAAGTATGAAGTATTCATGTATGAAGTCCTAGTATACTAATAGAGAAGATACCTGCTCTTGTTGGGATATTTTGGGGCCTCTTTACTAAAAGGATAAAGTTAGGGAATTGGTGTGTCCCTTCAGGATTATTTCCCATAACTGTTTTCTTCATAAGATAGAGCAGATCCATTTTCTTTGAAAAGAAAAAAAAAGATTCTGTTGTACTTTTGTTGCTTTGCCCTTTGACTGGTCAGTGCCCGTTAAATGTGTGGCTTCTCTCTGAAGTCCTTGGTTTTACAGGGAAAACTGTTCAATATGAAATGGAAAGCACCTGCTGCTCTGCGAGGGCCTGGTTGCCTTACTTCCGTAGGGAAGAGCCTGTGCTCACCACAAGGATGTTTGCAGCTTTGGTCTGTGATGCTATGATTTTGTTACAAAACCAGTACTCAAATACTTTATAAGTAATTCTGCGATTGTATGCATCTCTTTGTGGTACTGTAATTATTTTTACAAGTGAAATTTAAATGTTCCCCTTTAATTCTGTAATGGTTTTCTGATTAATACACTTAAAATGGTAGGCTGACATGAACATCTCTGAAACAAATGTGACACTTGGAGAAATCTCCTTGTAAGAATTAGGAAATAGAGTAGGGCTGTTTGAGGGCGTAAACTTTTTGATTCAGGGATACCTTACCTTGGCATTTCCCAATAGCCTCAGTGTAATATAACTACTCAGTGAATATATTTGAAGGAAAAAATGAAGATTAGTGTAATTCTTTGATTAGAGGTGCTACTCAGTTAAACACTCTCTTAATCTCAGTATCTTTATTTTAAGATCTACCAAGTGATGTCAGTAGAATGTGTTACTAGACAAAAATTCATAAAACCTCAGTCTTTATAGTGATTTATTAACTAGATTTCCCCCTTTGTTCCATTTCTAGGAGGAACAAATGACGAGAAATATGGTGCTATAGGTCTTTCTAAAAACATATACCTAATAGGCCTATTCTAGGAACATATTCAATTCTGCTTTCACATTCCTTGCACCTCATAATGATTTTAAAGGAGGAAGAAGGTGACCCAGGTGACTTGGCGGAGTTCTCTGTCAGAAAAGAAGCACACATTTATTTTACATGCTGTGTGTACTTACTAAAGAAGGATGAAATGTTGATATATTTGAGGTTTATTTTAAACAAGAATTGAAAGTTGAAATTAGTAGTGATTATTTTTACCATCAGCATCATCATTATTAATAGCTAATATTTATGTGTCAGGAGCTCTTCTGAGCACGTTATCTGCATTATCTCTTATATATATTCTCTTATTCCTGGGATCAACATTTTATAAATGAAGAAAGAAAGTAGGCTCAGAAGTTAAGTTTATTTTGACCAAGATCACATAGCTAGCAAGTGAGAGATCAGGACTTTAACCCAGTTCCGCCTGCAGGTCCTCATCCTCACTGGGATTCTGTACTACAGTACTCTGCCCTATTCTGCAGGGGATATGTTCCAAGACCCGCAGTGGATGCCTAAAACCATGGATAGTATCAAACCCTATAAATACTATTTTTTCTCCTACCCATGTATACCTATGATAAAATTTAATTTTCAAATTAGACACAGTAAGAGACTAGCAACAATAATAAAACAGATCAATTATAACAGTATCTGTAATAAAAGTTAAGTGAATGTGGTCTGTCTCTCAGAATATCTTATTGTACTGTACTTAACCTTCCTGTGATGACGTCAGGTGATAAAATGCCTATGTGATGTGGGCCCCTGGGTGGCTTAATCAGCTCTTGATTTCAGCTCAGATCATGATCTCATGGTTTCTGGGATCGAGCCCTGTGCTGGGCTCCATGCTGACAGCATGGAGTTTGCCTGGGATTCCCTCTCTCCCTCTCTCTCTGCTCTGTTTCCCTTTCTCTCAAAATAAGTAAATAAAGTAAAAAAAAAAAAAAAAAAAGCCTATATGATGAGATGAAGCACAGTGAATGACATAGGTGTTGTGACATAGCATTAGACTACTATTATTGATCTCTGACAGTATGTCAGAAGGAGGATCATCTGCTTTTGGACCAAGGTTGACCATGACTAACTGAACTGTAGAAAGTGAAACCACAGATAAGGGGAGACTACCATGTTTTCTTTGTTGAGTATTGCCATTTAACTGAGGAGGTACCATCTTGTTCCCAGAAGAAATATTTTAGTTTCAACAGGATTCAGGAAGCAGTTTTTACAGTGAGGTTTCTAAAATAAGAAATTAATTGGGGCGGGGCACCTGGGGCCTCTGCCCCTCCCTCTCTTTCTCTCATATTCTCTCTCTTTCTCTCTTTCAAAAATAAATCATTACCAAAAAACCCTAAAAAATTAAAAAGAAATTAATTTTTGGTAGCAAAGAAGTAATAAAGTTTATTTTTTAAATTTATTTGTGTAACCTTTCTTTTTCAGTTTATTTTTGGGCGGGGGGGGAAGGGGCAGAGACAGGGGACAGAGGACCCGAAGCAGGCTCCGTTGCTGACAGCAGTAAGCCCAGTGTGGGGCTCAAACTCACAAACCGAACCGTGCGATTGTGACCTGAACTGGAGTTGAACACTCAACCAACTGAGCCAGCTAGGCACCCCTAATAAAGTTTATTTGAAAAGCATAATACTACCTTAAATCAGAAGAAAGGAAAATGTATTTGTTGAACAAAAAACTACTTTGGTGGTACATTTTTGTAAAATTCCTAGTAACTCAGAAGGTATTATCTGTGTTCTTTTAGTTACCTCACAACCATATGACAAAGAGGGGGAAATGTAAACTAAAGAAATACAGTTTCATACTCGAGCTCATAATGTGAGGAAAATACAACTTGTTCTCCCTGACCTTATATAGTAATGAGAAGACCGCATGGGAATAAAGGGAGAAAGAAAGGAAAATTTATTGTTTTAACAGTAATTATGTGCTTTGACTGGCCTAAGGAGCCACTATTATTTGTTTTGCAAGAGAGGAAGCCATTCTCTCTGATACCATGGAGATCTCATTGACTAGAGTTATAGCCCCCAGTGCTTATAAGGATTTCCTTTCAGCTTAGACTTAATCCTTCTAAGCTCCCAGGTACAGGGATAAATGTTGATTTTCAAGGTAGCATTTTACCACATTGATTTGTTTGAAAAATGATTCAGTCATTTTCTTCCTTATTCTTAAATATTGCTGTGTACATCATGTTTCTAGGGAGGTGAGCACGTGAAACAATATGAAGAGGAGAAAATAGCCTTTTAAGGAAATTGGCCCACAGAAAGGATGGCCTTCTTGGACAATCCAACTATCATTCTAGCTCATATTCGACAGTCACATGTGACCAGTGATGACACAGGAATGTGTGAGATGGTTCTCATTGATCATGATGTTGACCTAGAGAAGATTCATCCTCCTTCAATGCCCGGAGACAGTGGGTCAGAAATTCAGGGAAGCAATGGTGAGACTCAGGGCTATGTATATGCCCAGTCAGTCGATATTACCTCAAGTTGGGACTTTGGTATTAGAAGACGCTCAAATACAGGTAAACATTGCCTTTTAGTCATGTCTTCTGAGCTTAAATCAGTCAACATTCGTATAGAATAATGCATAATGGTGGAATAGGTTTAATGGGGACAGTTTCTGTGTGTTAACAGGAACGTGCATGTGTTACACTAAGAGCGAGTCTAAACAACATCTCCATCTTTGTGACTATAAATGGAGAGTGCCTCAGGAACGATGCTGTCAGAATGAAGTAGACAGAAGATGAATAGTGGAGAAAGATGACTAGGAGAGGCAGGTTGGATGTTCTCTTTTTAAAAGGCCTTCCTGTAGAAAGGGAAGTGGACTTACTTTGAGTATCTTCACAGAACAACATTAGTCCCAGTGGGTACACTACCTGGTGGCAGATTTCAGGTTGACATAATAAAGAACCTCTAATACAGAGAGCTGACCAGCCATGGAGTGCTCCTGCCAGAGCCGTTTCTTGGCCATGGAAGGATTGTGGGGGGCAAAGGGAGGTTGGAGGTAAATAGCTGAATATTTGTTAGGGCTGCTTTTAATAGGAATTCCTACACTGAGTGTGAGATAAGAAAAGGTGCCCCTCTTTTGGATATGTTATTTTTATTTTCTTAAGTTGATCTCTATCATTTGATCTTTTTGGTTTGAAAATGCTAAACTTTGGTACATAAATATTTAGTCATTATCTTTTAAAAGCTTGTCATTGACCATTTTCCAGCTTATGTGTTTTGGAAACCTTTCAAAGGGAATGTGATGAGCCAAGGCCTTCATTTAGATAAATTATTTAGAAGTCAAAATGTAGTTCTGATATGACAGGGTATTCTAAGAGGTGATTTTTTTTTTAATTTAGGTAATCAGAAAATATAATCTCCTCCTAATCAGTAGCAGTAGCCTGCTAACTCCCAGGAAACATAATGGCAGGAGATGTGGTAGAACATTGAAAAGGTTTACATGTATATTTTCAAGGTCCAAATGTAAAATTCACATAAAGGAATACTGCAGGATACAATATAAAGTGAAAAGCATGTTAAGGTTTTTGGTTCAGAATTCAGCATTCTGTGACATCTACAAAGAATAATTTGCTCTCTTGATGAAAATAATTAATAGCATTTCCCAGTATCTCAAGGAATTTTTATCAAAATAGGATTTGAGTGAAGGTTTGAATATAATTTAGAATCATTGATTCTCAGTTCTCTAGTTGAAACTGACTTCCTTGCAAGTTATTGAGATGATATCTTGTATGACAGGTTGAATGGATTTCAGTAGGAGAATGCTGCTAAATTGAGAGCTTTATGATTATATTACTGTGGCTGTACCCTTCACATTTATTAATTGCAATTGAATGTATTTTCCTCCAGTAGAATTTGGTTAGATATAGCGACATTGTCAGAATGCTTTTGCCAGCACGGTTTACATACATTTCTGGCAAGGTTAGTTTCAGTGGTAGTTTCCCTACTACAATGCCAAGGCAGGTGCAGATGATTTCCTACCTTGAAAGAGAAATTTATTTATTTATTTTTTGTTAGTATTGTGCCAGGATAGGAAGTTGAAGATTAGCCAGAGGAAACTAATCTCAAGAAATAGGGTCAATTACGACTTTCTTTTTCATTGTGGTTTCCGTATGCGGCACTTGTTAGTATATGCGGGACAGTATTTCTTTAAAAGGTTAATTCACTGATTTTTGAAGGTTGATCAGCCAGTGGTAATATAATCTCATGTAATATGTAGGATTTTAGGTGATGCTTTTGTTACTGTTGTTGGAATTTCTTAAGATGGCACATAGATGCTAATACTTACTATTGTGGGGCGTCCTAGTGACCAAAGATTTTGCTTTTTAATCCTTTCAGCATATCTTAAAATTTTGTATAAGAAAAATTATTCTTTTTAAGATTTGACTAATGTTACAAAGATACAAATCATTTATTTTACTACCTATAAACTGTTTCAGCCCACTGAAGAAAAGCTATGCTAATTTATATAGCTTTGACATTTTATAATTTTCATGATTTTTAGATAAAGGATTTTATATTTAAAACTTTAATAGTCTAGTCTGAGTTCATTTATCTTTAATTTTTGAAACGGGTAGAGTAATTCATAACAGTAATTTTATTCCTGTAATGTAATATTCACTTCAGTTCATTTGTGCATTAAAATTCCTTTAAGACCGTTATTAATGATTTATATAATGAAATGTCATATTAATCACAGAAGTTTTCACATTTTATTATTCTCTTCCATGTTAATACTATCTTTATGATCTCTATTAATGTTTTATATCCTCTAATTTCAATTATAAATCAAGAATATTTTCATGTTTTTGTTGGTATTTGCTTTTCAGGGGTGCCACCTTTAAAATTTTATGACTTTTTCCCTACATATGCAGTATAAAACATCTTTATTCATATAAAGGTAGTTAATTATGTCTTTGTTTATAGTAAACTTTCATTGACAAACTTATAGTTAAAATATTTCTTTTCAAGCTCAAAGATTAGAACGACTCCGAAAAGAGAGACAAAACCAGATCAAATGCAAAAATATTCAGTGGAAAGAAAGAAATTCTAAGCAATCAGGTAAATGGAAATAATTTTAATTGTTAATTTGAGATTTGTATATTTAGTTTATATTATTATATAAGAGCTTTTATTTTTAATTCACCTTTTTAAATCCTGTAACTAGATACCTCTTGTTTTGAGCTTTGAATGCTTTCACTTGGGGTGCCGTGGCCCTCTGAAGCTGTGTGTTCTTCAGGTCTTGTGATTTTGGTCACTCTTCATTCTGGGTCACAGGAATTGATGTGTGCAAGGCACATTTTGTACAAACTCTCATGCCACTACCTTGTTCTTAGAGCCAAGGAATACCTATGGTTTGGATGGGCCTCTGGGTTGTAGATTCCTCCTGGCAGTTCCAACCTTGACTCTCCCCTGCCTCATTAAGTGACCTGAATAACAGTCTTTTTTGCATATATGCTAATTCTTTTCCTTTAGCTTAACAAGCATTATGTTGCAAGTATTATCAGCATTTATAGTTTGCGTTCATATGGTATGTGTATTAAAAAGCTGGCCATATATCGTATTTTCAAATCTTCAATCTCAGCAAGAACACCTAAAAAATGTTATTGAAATATTTTCTAATGTTTATATCATGTGTTCTAGGTTTTCTTTTTTTCTTCTTTCAAAGTAATGTCTGCACTCTGTCTTCTCTGTCTTCCAGCACCTAGTACCACCCTGGCATGTAATAGATGTCCACTCAATTTTTGTTGACTGACTCCATTGCTACATAGTGTTGATAAAACTAACAATATTAATGATTATTATATTAACATCAGCACCTACCTAGTGCTATTCTAAGCACTTTACACACATTACCTCCAATGTAATGATCTTGAAAGGTATAGATATTGCTGTGGTTAACAGATGAGACAGAGACTCAGCGAGCTTTAACTTGCTAATGTTACAAGGCTAGAAAGCAGTAGTGCCGTGGAGCCGTATTTTGTAGCTAGCACTGTCTGCAGCTAAAGGCCAATCTCTTTCTGCTAAACCACTCTGTATAAAGTGGTTATTGCTTTCTCCTGCTGTGGTTGTAAACCCAGGTGTGTTCAGTGGGTATGATTTTCTTAATAGTTGCCTCTAAATGACAACTGCGTAAAGCGGAAATCTCATTCACTTCTTTCTTATGTCTCATTTCCATGGCTTCTGTGGTTCTCCTGGAATGTCTATTTGGTTTTGCTCTTAATACTTAAAAAACCTCTCTAGGCTGGCCTTTTCTGTTGATCCAGTTAATACTTCTCTCTGTTGCATTTATCAAACTGAAAACCTTTACATTGTTTATCTTGTTGACTTTCTTCAAATTTTTCATATATCTTGATGCTTTTTCTGTTAATCTCTTCTTAATGAATATAGAGCCAGTTTATCTAAACTCATCTCTCCAGCTACCCTCTGTTTTGCCTTCTTTGCTTCCTTATCTTAAAACAATTACAAATAAAAAATAGGATGAATAGAGTACCTTAGATATAACTGCATCAATCCCCTTTACCATGTGAGAAATAAATTCTTCAACTTAAATTGATACTTCTACTAATCAGACACATCTAATAAATTTTGATACATTTCCCACTCATTCCTTAAAGTCTAATCCACTTTAACTTCTGTTAGTGTTTCACAGAATGTGCTGGATTGTGGCACGTGGGCGGCTCAGTCGGTTAAGCATCTGACTTCAGCTCAGCTCATGATCTCATGGTTCATGGGTTCGAGCTCTGTGTTGGGCCCTGAGCTGACTACACAGGTGGAGCCTGCTTGGGATTCTCTCTCTCTCCCTTTCTGCCCCTCCCCCACTCGTGCACATGCATGTTTTCTCTCTCTCTCTCTCTCTCTTTCTCTCTCTGAAATACATAAAAAAAAGAATGTGCTAGAGAAATAGTCTCCTTTTTGCTTTCATTTGGAGCCAAACCATTCATTATTTGTGTATACTTCTCTCTCCCTCAGTTTCCATCTTTCTTATTTCTGTCTCTCACAGATTTCAGTAATTGACCCTGTGATCTTAGGGTACTAAAAAAGTGCCTTCTTAATATACCTGGCCACTCTCCAAAATGTTGACCTTGCTTCTGGCCAGGCCAGTGAACCTCATCAATGCACAGAGGAGTAAATGGTTTTGAATTCTCTGTTCATCTGGGTTCCACCATTACTACAGGTTGGCACTCTGGGTCTCCTGAAATATATTAGAAAAGTGGAGTCAGCAGTCCAGTAAACATCTACCTGACAAACTGAGCAGCTACTCTGGTTCCACGCATTTCTCAAGCACACACTTTTTTTGCCAAGGAATGCCACAGCCAGATCCTTTTGATCTTAATCGGGAATTTTGGTTAGGTAATCATTTATTCCTTCCCTCATTCTTTTTCTGCTGTTTACATTTTGTTAAAATCCTTTCATATGTTTTTCTTATCTTTGTTTTATTTTATTCTCTACTAGAAGAATCATTATTATGGATATGATGACCTCCGGTGGAATGTTTTTCTTCCACAATTATTCTAAGTCCAGTCCATCCTTTAATATAGGAGAACTACAGTGTTTCCATAGAAGAGTTGGAAGGGATCTGAGAAGCCATCTGGTCCATACCCTGAGGTTCTTTATGAACTTTGTGTATATCCTTTATATGCCCTGAGACCACATGATAAATGGAATACTTTAGAATAAGATCCTTATAGTATTTCTGGAGCCAGGACTGCATGGATAAATGTGAAGATGGTCACTGGACGACAGCTTTGTCAGGAGGAACAGTGTCAAATCAAGCCTCGGTATTTTTAATTTTATTGTTTTAAAATGGCGTTGGTAGATTCTTTACAAAATGTATTGTTACCCTTATTCACGGACTCATATAACAAACATTTCTTTCATACTTTCTGTGTGCATCTTAATTCTATGCTATGTACTTGGAAAAATATGTGATTCCTGTCCTCAAGAGGTTAGAAGTCTACTGGGAAGACAAAGACACCTATACATAAAGTTAAATAGTAGCTCAAAAACAATGTAGTGTATATCAGTTATTTCTGAATACTCCTAAAGTTTTCTTTATGTAACTTATAGTATTGGTTTCTTAAAACAACAGTTCCCAGATACAGTGGCTATGTACAAATCAGAAATACATCCCAAAGTGCGTGTCATAATGGCTTCTGTATAAATTTCTAGCCATATATGTGGAATTTCTGATTCAGAAGATAGGGATTGGGGTCCATCTATATTTTTCAGAAGCACCTGGGTGATTCTTATGAGTAAGCAGTACTGGGGGCCACTGGTATATAATAGGCCAGCCGCTAAGTTTGCTTCATCTTAATACAAATCCAGCAAATTAGCTATTAATATTTCTGTATTATGTGTGAGAAAACTGGAGCTCAGAGGCTAAATAAGTTTTTCAAGTTACTTACTTACAAATATGACAAAGCCAGAATTCTTCTCCTGGCCAGTCTGACTCCGAAGACTGTAGTTCTTCTGCTCTCTCCTATTTTCTCCAGTACTGTTGGCGGAAAGGAGCTGCTTTTGGAGCTGTGGGTGTTGAGGATTCTTTTGTGTTCTCTTGTTCCTTCCCTCCTCTGTGTCAGTGATAGCCAGTGTTCAGGAAAGTTGTATTAGAAGAAAAAATTGTTATAGGAAATCTGAAATAAAATATAAAAATAAAGATCAGCTACCAGTATTCTCATATTTGGAGGAACTGCTGTTAACATTTTGATGTATTTATTCTAGATTCTATTTATATAAGTATATATATTTTAAATATTCTAAACATCTTATGATCTTTTTTGTAGTTTTTTTGTGTATACAAGTAGTACATAAATGCAACATTTTGTCTTATCTCCATGTCGTCCCTGCACATTTATTAAGGTTATTTCCAGATGTCTTGTATTTTGTGCTGCCCTTGTAATTAGCATCCTCTTCCCCATAACTTTTTTACTGCTCTTGTGAAGAAATCTATTGTTTTTATATATCTGTTTTATATCCAGTCACTCACTGAATCCTTAGAAGTTCTGATATGCATTCCCATCTTCTTGAAGGCTATGGTATATGCTTTCTCCTAAGACTGATGATAATTACATTTCTAGGCTATTGTTTTTTCAGTTCTGTTTGTTGGAGACGTCCAACTGTTTATATTAGTTAGAACTCTTCAGCTGCAAATGATAAAGGGAAGTGATGTTGAAAAAGCTTGCAGTAGAGCAACTCAGGAGGTACAACTGTGCCTTATGAGTGGCTTGGACCCGGGAGGAAGGGCTCTCAATACCAACCCCTGTCTCATTCCTACGTCTTTGTGCCCGTTTGTTCCTCCCTCCCTCTCTTCTGCCTCCCTGTCCCCACAGCTACTTTTTCTACTTCTCTGGTCCACAGTGAATCATGTAACAAGTATTTCTTAAGCTCCTACAAATGCAAGGACAGCTAAGCACTTGTAGATTTAGAAGGTATAGCAGTAAACAAGACAGAGTCCCTGCCTCATGGATCTTGTGGGGGAGATAGACAGGAAACAAACCTAGTGTTGTCAGAGTGGGGTAAGTGGCATAGCAAAAACTATAGCCAGGTACGGAGGATAAGGAATGCCACGTAGGGGATTTTGCTATTTTATGTAGGATGATCGGGGAAGGTCTCTTGGGAAGGTGATGTTTGAGCAGAGTTCTGAAGGAATGAGTCAGGCAGGTATTGGAAACTGGGTGTCCTAAGATGAGGGAGAGCGAGTGCAAAGGTTCTGCAACAGAAGTGTACCTGATGTATTCAAAGAATAGCAAGGAAGGATGCTTACTGACTATAGTAGAGTAGAAAGGGAGAAGAGTGGGCTCAGAGAAGTAGTGAGAAAGCAGATCATGGAGAGTCTTGTACAGAACTTAATTTTTACTCTGGGTACAGTGATTTAATCTGAGTAGAATAGAATGGTATAATGAACCTCAATATACCCATCATTCAGCTTCACCATATGGCCAGTCTTGCTGCTTTTACCTCCCCACCCCTCTCAGATTATTACTTACTTATTTTTTGAGAGAGAGAGTGAGTGAGCATGAGTGCGAGAGAAGGGGAGAGAGAAGATCTTAAGCAGGCTC